TTAATTCATTTATTTAAATTTTATTAATTATTTTAATTTTTTTCGTTAATTTTTTTGTAAATTTATTTCCTTTTATGTTGATATGTTAATTTTTTATTATTGTAATTTTTGTTTTTGTTAGTTATTCATATTTATATATTATTTATAATAATTAATTTTATAAAAATTTATCATAAAGTATAGTGTGAGGTGTTAAAAAGTGTAGCATGAGTTGTAAAAAAGTTGGGGAGCTTATAAGCAAATTTCATTGGAGCAAAAATTGTAAAGTATAGTATGAGTTACTTATGAGTGACGTAGCACAGTGGAACCCATTTAAAGTGGTTGGGAGTTGCTTATAAGCAACTCCCATTGTAGATGCTCTAACATAAAGTTCTCACTATGCTTATTAGCAATGATGGAACTAGGTTCAAAAATGACGGAACTAGGTTCATTGCTAGGGGTTATATTTTTTTTTCTTTTCTTTTTACGCTGTATTTGGATTGTGAATTTTAATGGAGTAATTTATTTCTTTTAAGGGAAATTTAAATATTTTGAGATAAAATAATTTATTTGGATGAATTTTTTTTAAATTAAAATTTAAACATTTGTAAATTTTTTTAAAATGGTAGGATTTCCAATTTTCTAAAATAAAAGTAAGTGTTTCAAATTCTCTAAAAAAAAATAAGAATTTAAATTTTTTTTCTATTTTAAAGTCAACATAAAAATAATAATATTTTTAATTGTTGAATACTTTTGTAAAATATTAAATCTTATCTAATATTAATTTTTTAAATTTAAATTAAAATTAGCCAATATTTAACAAATGTGAAATCACTTGTCCAAATAAAACATTTAAAGAATGATAAAATTAAAATTAAAATAATTTAAATTTTAATAATTTTAAATTCTTTAAATTTCTAAAATCACTCATATCTATTTTAATATTAAACATTTTCTCCCTCCAAATTCTAGTCTTGCTTCTTATCTTTTATTTTTTTTTCTTTACAAAAAATAATATATATTTTTTTATAAATATTTTCTGTTGTTTAGTGAAAACACATATATAATAATAAATTCTATTGTATAAGGTGCAACTAATTTCTCACATAATCACACCATTATTCTTAAATTATGCATTTTTTTTTCTTTTACTTCCTTTGATTTTTCTTTCAAATATTCTAATATTTTTCAATTTGAAAATTAGTGTCAAATTTAAGTTTTTGATATATAATTAAATTATATACTCAAAAAAATCTTACAACAAAATTTCTAATAAAAAAATACTTGTAATCTTTTAAAAAAGAAAAGTTAATTGTTTTTAATTGTTCATATTAATTTTAGCTATAATTGTTTTATTTTATGTTAATTGTTTTATAATTATTTTTTCTTCTCAATTTAATTTAAAATTATTTTTAATTTTCTAGATAAGTTAATATATTTAAGAAAATTTATTTTTAATTATAAATTGTTATTGTACAATGTACTCCTCCCATTTTTTTTCATAATTGATATATTTTTATTTTTATTTCATTGTCACTTTTTTAAAATCAATAACTTATTAATTTTTTTTCTCATTTTTACTCTCGATAATTAATGTATGTTTACTGAATAATGTGTCTATTTATTTCTAATATAATACCTATTTCTTCTCCAACTACCTATGTGAAATTAATATTGCACTTATGAGGATAACATATTTCCAATAACATTATTCATCCATGAATTTTTTTTTTCTTTTCAGAGTATTCATTTAAGAATTAGGATACCCAAAAGACACAATGTACTTAAAAGTGTGATTAAATAGAATAGATTACAGTTCACATGTGTATTCTAGTAATCAATACATTAATTCATGGACTTTTCAAAAAGTACATAACAACAATAAGTATACACAAATTAACAGTCTCAAGACTTAAATATAAAAAAAATAATAATAAAAAAAAAGGTATAAAAAAAATAAATAATAAATATTTTTAAAAATTAAAATATCAATTTTCTTAAATATGATTGAAAATTTTTAAACGATTGTGAAAAAAAAAGAAGAAAAAACTGAGAGAGTATAAACTTTTGTCCCTTCATCAAAATTTTCTAGTACCGTCCCTCCTTACTAGATAATCATTTCCGTTGATTTGTTGCCAACACAACTCCATTGGTAGCCACCAAAACACGCTTTCCAAAGGAATATATTAAGGGAGAAAAGCAAAAGATAAAATTTCTAATGGAATAAATTTTATCAAACGGGTTTAGAGTGTGGTCCAATTAGAATGAGGTTGACCATAAAGTCAACAATAGAAAAAACAGAGATTACTTGAAGGGCAAGGAGAAGAATTCAAGAATAGATCAAGCCAACAGTAATAAGCTTCTGTTCATAGATTCTCTCTCCTTTTTTATTTTTTGTCGTTTTGATTGATTCAATCCCTTATCCGTGTTTTGTTATCCCTGCTTAATGAAATAGAAGTAGTGATCTTCAATCATATGTTTATTTTAGTAATTCCCATGAAATTAAATTCACTGCTCTTCACATTCTAGGCAGAGTCAAGGTATTTTTCTTATATTAGTTAGTTCTATTCAGTTCCTTTTTCATCTGGGGTATTCATTTCCTGTTATATATAATAATTTTCATTTTGTGATCTAAAGTCTTCTCATTTTCGATGTTTCTTCTTTCTTTCTGTCTAGTTTTTCTTTTTTCGTCTAGGTGAGGCATATTGCATGTTTTCTAACGACATGCTCAAACTACAATGATTCCTTTTTTGTTTTTTTGGTCTGTTTTCCTTCTCCTTCTTTTTCTGCTTTCATGGATACATGTCATCACAGTTTGAGTTAAATAAGAAAGTGTTTGTCTTTGGGTTTTTATTTTTATTTTTTATTACTTTTTGTTCCCTACTCCTCTTTTTCCTGGTAATGAATACAAGTGTGAAACCCTTCACATAGAAAACTTCGTTTAATTTGGCATTTCCTGGTAGGAGCTTAATTCTAGAGAGACTTTTTTTCTTGTTTCCGTGTAACTTTTGGGAAAGCTGCTTCCAGGAAAGGCCACAAGAAGTTTCTTTTAAACTTGAGTTATACAAAGTCATTGAGTCAAGGCATGCAATTTGAAAAAATAAAAAATAAAAATGAATGTTACTCCTTCCTAGAAACCATCCTTTTTGGGAAAAAGATTTCCTCTGGCCCAAAATCAAACCCCCACTAATCAAATTCAACTTTTTGTTCACAGGTCTTGATTAAAGTTTTTTTTTTACTTGTCTTGAGAATCAACAATTTGCATCAATGAGCATGGAAAAAAAACAGAATTGTCAAACTGTTAGCACAAGCTCACATGGCACTATTCTTGGTCTTGTTGGCCACTACCTGTTTGAAAATGGTTCATCTCAGTTTGTGTTCATGGATGTTAAAAGTGAGAGTGAAGCTTCCGTTGATCATTCCCTCAGCTTCTCTACTGAAAACTTTGTGCAGACCCTTGCTTTATGCAATGGCCTTATCCTCTTGTCTGGTTTCAGTGGTGACCAACCCTGTTACCATGTGTTCAACCCCCTCACCAAGCAGAGTGTCATGATCCCCCAAACTAGTATCCAAGGGGGTGTTGCTAGAGCTGGATTAGCCTTTGATGGATGCCAAAACCAATTTGAGGTTGTGCTTGTTGAAGCATGTTCTAAAACCAATGGACTAGAACTTCATGTTTTCTCTTCTGACACTGGCAAATGGAGTAGCCACAACCCCACCAACATAACTGTTCCTTCTTTGCCAGAATTTGAGTTCCAAGAGCTTGGAACACTCCCTCTTTACTCAAATGGGGAACTCCATTGGGAAATAGGTGGATACTTGTTGGTGTATAATGTCCGAGGAAGCCATTGTGAACTTTATGAACTGCCAAATTGTTTTGATGATTGGTCTTGGCAATCAACTTTGACTTACCGCCGTTGCTTGTGTGAATCAGGAGGCAGTGTTTACTATTGCTACACTGATTTTGATGGTTTTCACATTTGGAATCTTCTCAATGAGAATCAACATGTTGGACTCTCATATTCTTGTGATCACAAAAAGTTTCCATGGAGACTAGTCCATAGTGTCATCCATGAAGTGTTTATGTCTAAGCTGACTAAGCACCAAAAATTTTGTGGCAGCATTTATGGCTGGGAGCCTTACAAGGTTGCACCTATTGCCTATAGTGAAGAAGCCCAAACCATATATTTGCAGCTTCCAGGAACTGTTATTTCTTACGAATTTGATACAGGAAGTATTGGATCAATCTGCAGCTACTCATATCCAGGCATGAACTTCAATTGCTGCTCATTCTTTTCTTCAACTATTAATGGACCTCATAGTGCACAGAGAGACACTAGTGGAGAAAGTGAGCTAAATCTACCCATAGCAGAAATGGCAAAGTTAGCCCTTTAAATCAACTTTTGATAACAGTCATTATGGTGGTATTCAGTGGTCATTAAACTCCTTATATGCTACTCACATATAGTAATTATGCTAGTAATATTTTTCACCTTTCAATTTCTACATTTGAATGTTGATTAACTCAGACATGATTATCTTCTCTCTCTTCTCTCTTTTTTTTTTATATTTTTTTTTTATAATTTGTATTTTGATCTATGTGACCAACATCAACAAGCACTTTTTTGTTGTTGTAAGTACTAGCTGTATTCATTCTGTGTGTGTATAACGGTGACACAGTGAGTAACTACATACATACTATATTGGTGTAAAAAAAAAAAAACTTCATACATACTATTCAATTCTCTCAACAACAACCAACCGGTGGTTCTTTTACAGTATACTTCTTTTTAACATGTTCTTTTTTTCAAATTGAAAAGTCCTACTAAATAATTGAAACTCATTTGATTAGGAATAGTAGTCACATTAATTATAGGGTCGCTAAGATATTAAAGAGTGCGTTAAAGAAAAGTATGTGTGTTAAAGTTGGTATCTTACAAAGTACCCATTAACATATAGTGTCTTCAGATTATTCTTGTAAAAATAAGCTGTTTCCATATGTGGTTAATGGAAAAAAGTCTACTTTCAAAATGAGAAAATAAGTTACAAAAGGGTGACCCATAGATTGATCCACCAGATAAAAAGAAATATATCATCTAAATATAATTAATTCATTAAAATATTCAAATGCTTGAAGCATCAAACATGTTTATCAATAACCTTAAAGGGCCAAAACTAGGTACAATAATATTTTATTTCATTAGCGTCAATAAGTACATAACCACAAATAAATATGCCTAAGTTACAATAAATACAAAAAAAAAAAAGTAATAAAAAAGAGAAGTCATCCTAACGGGTTAATCTTACCCAAACTTTTATCAACATGTTAAAAAGACGAGTTGATTAGATTAATCTCGTTTTAAAAGTTAATTACAAATTCTAAGACCCAAATGGAAAATGATTACAAGTTGGAACATTACTCCTTGTAAAAAAAAAAAAAGTTGGAACATTACTCGGGGTACCATGTAATTGCATTATTTATTTATTTTTGGTTACAAATTGCATTAGGACTTTATAGGAGCAAACAACACAGTTTATATGGTGAAAATATATGTCAGGTAGCCTACACAGTTTGAACGGGCTAATAATGGATCAACCCAGCTTTGTCCAATATATCAGTGGACTAATAAAGTAACACAAAAAGAAAAAAAAAAGATTAAGCTAATTCAAAAAAATAAATCATAAAAATTTAAGATGCATAAATGAATACAGTAAGATTAAAGTTTATTAAACCTCGTTAAATTCAGTAATTTAAAATGTAAGATGCATAAATGAATAAACTCAAATAAAAAGTACAACATAAGCAAAATATATGTTGCAATTGTTTTAATCAAAATGTTTATACAGTGATCGCAGTGATCCACATGTTGTTGGGCCTTGCATTTAAATGGGCTTGTTTATTTATTTTCGGAGGTAACTAGTAGTAATAAGTATTATGTGGCTAACTTAATCAACAAGTTTTAGCATACATAGTTGGGAGATAACTCATTTTCTTAAACATGATATCGATGTTTTTTTTTTTGTCATGTTTATAGAGAAAACTTTGTTAAAAGAGATAAAACTAACTATTTTTTAGTCATAAAAATTACAATGGTGATAATAAAGTTTGAATTTAAAATTTCACATATACTACTTTAATATTCACTATTAGGTTGATTTTAGTAATTTTAACAAAACTTACTTTAATAATCTTTATGTTTTAAAGGAAATTAATTTCTGATTTTTGAGAAACATACTTAGAGCATACAAAAATATGGGTAACTCATTGGCTTGTTATCTTTAATTCCTAATGACTTTATTGACGAGCTAAATGGGCTGGAGTGGGCGAAACAAGTATAACAATTGAAACTAAAAACTCTTATTCCATGTAGAACATGATAAAGTATCGAATTTTAATAGTTTTAACTTTAGATATACAAAAAGTTTAATGGTGATGGACGGATAATGTAAAACGTCGATCACAATTTATAATAAATAATAAATTTGTTAATTTTTATAATTATGTCTAAAACTTTTTACAATAACGATGTATTACCATTAAATCATGTATAAAATAGTCATTTATTAAAAAGTTTGACAAGAATAAGTAATTATTTAACTATAATAAGATGAACTTTAGCTTAATTAACTTTAGGCGGTTGGAAAGGAGCAAGCGGAGCAGGAGCAGGCCCTCTCAGTTTTTTCCCATAGAAATTATATATTGAGTTTATTTATTTTTTTATATGAAAAATATAATAGAAGCAACTAGCATCAATGGTTGAATTCTATAAGATTATATTTTTTATAATACTTCATAAAAATAAATTTTATGACTTTAATTGCGTTGAATCGTATGACATCCTTGACGAATATGTATATTAGACATTTGCAGATATATGTAACGGTTATGTATCTTAGACATTTGCAGATATGTAATCAATGATACATGTTTGCTTATAATTTGAATGACATATTATTATACATTATGAAAAAAGTAAAAGGACTTGCATGTTGTATAATCAATGGTTGATAATACTTTAATTTGAGCAACATAATAACAATGAAATTTATTTATGTAATAATATAATAATTATATGCGTCGTCACGTATTTAACTAAGATGTTTCTTATAATATAAATAAGTATTTTAAGTAGCTTGATCATATTGAAATAATTAATTACGTAACTTTTTGGGTTAGTTAGATTAATAACTAATTTAAATAAAAATTTCACAATATCATGATTTTTAAAATTTTGTCAATTAAACCAGGAAGATCGAGTATTTCTATTAGAGTATAACAACTTAAGACTGAATCTACCACGACTTTAGGATGCATAACTAAGCCTCCCATGAGATTAACTTGTCAACTACTTTTCAAATAGTAAACCACTTCCAATACTTAGTTAGGGATTATAGCCCTAACCTTGTACCTTACTTTATTTGGTCGCTTTGTACACATATAACTCGCTTGGCTCCTATACGGATTAACATTTGGTTGCTTTATAATCAATATATCTTGATTTGGTCCTTATATTGTGGCCACTTATAAACAATATAACTTGATCTTACACCTATGTCGCATCAACTAAGGTACTAAAGAAGATTTAACAATCTACTTCAAGAGTCAACTTCTTAAAAAAGGTTTTCAACAACTAGCTTCATAGAGCACCACAACACAATATCCTCATAATAGGATATTCACTTTTTAAAACAACCTCTTCTCTAGTCCTAAGTCAATCAACACAACTTAACATAATGTCTTAAACACTCTCAACAATTACCACCTCAACAACACAACATGTAGCTCAACTTACAACTTTCAACAATTTAATCATCTATATACATCATCCTATATCAATGTATAAAGAACTAACATTATACAAAAAAAATACAACATGTAAGCCCTCTTACTTATTCAAATAGTGTTCAACATTTAATTAGCCAAGAAAAACACATTTTCATTAGACAACCCACACCTGTTGTCATTCTTTTCACGTCCAATGTCATTGAGACAGAGAGATTCTGGCTCGCCCACGCTCAGTGTGAATGAGGTAGAGAACCCCTAGGACAATCATGTTTAGCGTGGTCAAAACCCACATTCGACATCGTTCAAGCAAAGAGTCTCTATCTAACTCACGTCTAGTGTTGCTACATTGGTACTCGGTCTCATCTAAGCAAAGAGCTTCTATCTTGATCACGCTTGACATCACTTAACTTGGGCTCGATGTCACCAAGTTTAAGAGATCTAAAGGTATCCATGTTGTGCACCATTTAACCAACGTCTAGCGTGACCAAGTCATAGAGCTTTTCGCTAACTCATGCTTGATGCTACCAATTTCGTGCTTGGTGTTAGTGAGGCAAAAAGTCTCTAGCCTACATCACACCTAACACCTTGAAGCTATGCTTGACGCAATGATGATTTTGCACATGAGAGAATCACAAAATTGGTTCTCTTCACTTGAAAATCAAGAAACCCAAACATGCAATATAATAAATAACATCTAATCATCATAAACAACTTATTTCCCACCAAAATAGTAACATGGAACCACGATAATCACTAAATTCACATCAACATGCTTCAAAAACACCAAAACTTCACACATAAGAACTTCCTCTCAATCATCAATACAACCACAATTTTAATGAAGTTTAAGAAACATACAACATTATAAAACAACAAAGAATAGAATTCTAGTTTCCTTTACCTCTAACTCCAGGAGAAAAGAGAAAAAGGAAGAAGAAAACAAGTTCCTCTAGAGAAACTTTGCATGACATAACACCCACTCTAATTCTAAACTCCAACAATTGTCTTGAATCACCAACCAACAATAACTCTCAAGGGAAAGATCCTACAAATTAAGCAATTGGGGGTCAATAGAAGAAAAGAAACTCTCACCAACTCTAGAACACTTCTCTCTAAACTATCTCTCTAAGTTTTCTTAAGAATGAACTTATAAAATTCAAGTCTTAAATAAAATCTTATAAACCTTTCCCTATAGGTTAAACTTGACCTTTGATAAGAGTAACTCCTAATAAATAAATCACTACAACACATAATTTAATACATTTAATAACTATTAATAATGCATAGCATTACAAATGCTCCCAATTTGAGAAATTAAGAAAAGTAGTTTTGTTTAAACAAACATTATAAACAAATGATTAGAATGAATTATTTTCGTTTAAGTAGAAGTAAGACAATATATGTATTGTAATTTTAGTAAGAAAAATGTGACATTGAAGTAAAATGAGAGAATACATAACTCACATGCTTTTTTAAATTTAAATATATGAAATCATGCTTATAAAATGACGAAAAAATTAATGAGAATATTGTAAATAGAAATTAGTGAGATGGTTAAAATAAAGAATGGTAATAGGAATTATTTATTCCTAAAATTACTTACTAAACTTCAAGACAAATTTTATTGTCATGTTATGCATCAGTTAGGAGTGATAAAATGAGTCGTAAGCTAGCCAACTAGCTTGCTTGACCCGTCCCACTTAACCTGTCTACTCACTAGGCCAAATGATGAGTTGACTCGCTAGACTGTTTAACTTTTAAATATTATTTTTAATTTATTTTTTAACTTATGATGTTTCTACCAAGGGAGTATCTAATGTTTTTGAAACATAGATGATAATTGTTTTGTACTTTTATCATATTATGGTATTTTAGTTTTGTTTATGTTCAATTCTAAAGGTGTCATAGATTATAATTTTAAATTATAAATAGTTATTTTTCTTTTTTAAATATTGAGATGAGAAAACTCTTTTTTAGGCTAAGTGTAATAGATGATTAATATATTTTAAACCATTTAACTAAATTTGTTTATTTGGGTTAGTGTTAAAATAAAAATCTTGATTTTTTGTAAATGTTTTTGTGTCAGTCCACTAACCCAATCTTAAATGGGGGGAGTTAGGATTTTGATCCCACTATCATCTAGCTAATCAAATCGTTCTACCTCATCTTTTGCAGGCTAATGGAGGTGCGAGTCAAAACGGTATAGACAATTTACTATCCCTAACTAGAGGTGTCAAACGGGTCGAACTAACTTGACCTATACAAGTCAAATATTATTTTATGTTAGGCTCGTATGACCTATATTATTTTCAGACAGTCATTTTTTGGCCCAACCTGACCTATGTATGTTGGGTCATCAAGCTAAATTGACCTAATTAAAAAATATTTTAAAAAATATATTTTTTACAATGAAAAAGAAAAAAAAATTATAACATGATTAATTGATACTATATATTATCCTAAAACACCTAGTTATTTTTGTGCAATCATGAAATACCCTATCACTACAAGTTAATTACAAAAGTTATTCTAGCAAAATTTGCATATAAATTATGTTGACTTCGTTTGTCATTCTTTTCCTTGAAGTTGAAAGCTCAACTTGATTATTTTTTAAAGCATATAGTGTTGTTCACAATTTAATGCTTAAATAACGATACGATAAATAATAAACAAAAGCTACAAGCAAATGTAACACTATCAACAAATATTTCATGCTTTCTCTTAAAATTTTGACCAAACTATCATTTGAAGAGGCTTTATCCAATGTGAGGAAAAATATTTTTCCATCTATCCCCCACTCCTTAAGAGGTCCAAGTAATTTTCTAGATAATTCTAATCCGATATGTGAACTATCCAATTTACAGAACGAAAATAACTTACTATTTAGCCTCCAATTTAAATCAACATAATGAGTAGTCACAATCTTATAATCTTGGATAGCTACAGATGTCCATACATCATAAGTCAAACATATTCTACCCGAAATAGTAGTTAATGCATTCTTTAATTTTTTTTGTTCAATTATAAACACTTTACTACAAACAACTAACTCTAACTTTAAATTTGTAAGCACACACATATACAAAAAAAAATGAAAGACTATTACAATTGTAGTATTATTATATTTTATTCTATTATTTTAAACACATTACATATTGATGTTAATTTAAATTATTTCAATTATTAGTTTAATGGGTCAGCCTGTGAACTTGTGGGTCAACCCAACCTGAGGTCATTTGACCTATCGGGCTTAGCGAGTTAGGCCAAAATGGCCTGATGCGTCACTACAAAAAAAGTTACATACAATGACATACAAAAAGTATCATGATTTCCAAGACTACAATACCATAGCTGTAGGTATCAGCCTTCTCTGATAATTGACCATGCATTGCATACTCAGGTGCTGTGTATCCTCTGGCAAGTGCACGATGTTAGTTCATTGTTAATAAAATAACATTTACACATAGTATGTTGCATTTTTCCCTCATAAGTTTTTAATTTGTATCTTATGCTAAACTTGATGCTAAAACAAATTTCAAGAAATTCAAGTAAATGCAATAATCATTTTTCCTTACAATGTTCCTGCAAATTTTGTGCTAAGATGAGAACGATCTCCTGGTAGAAGCCTTGCTAACCCAAAATCTGCAATTTTGGGCTGAAGATCATCATCTAAGAGGATATTAGCAGTCTTTATATCTCTATGTATGATGGATACATGGAATTCCTCATGTAGATATGCTAGTCCCCTTGCCGTGCCTAAAATTATGTGATAGCGTTGTTTCCAGTTGAGGGAACCTCTTCTGCTACCTATTTTTGAAGAAAGATTGTTGACGAGAAATGAAAATAATAAATAATTTTTAAAATGGTATTTCTATTTGTGGTTGACAAGAGTTACCAAATATGAATTTATCAAGACTGCTATTTGCCATGTATTCATAAACTAGGATTCTTTCTCGGCCTTTGATGCAACAACCAAGGAGTCTGACGAGGTTTCGATGATGAACATTACTTATAAGTTTCACTTCGCCTTCAAAATCGTCCTCCATCTTGCTTGATTTCCCCATCACTAGTTTCTTCACGGCAACAACTTTTCCATTTTTCAGAGTACCCTATTTAATATTATGCATGATTAGGAATGAAGATAAGCTAAATTGTGAAAGGCTTTACTTAATGAAAAATCATACATGTATAATAAAATTGTAGAACAATTTGTACAATACTAATATTATTTTTTGTGTTTATCTCTTTCTATTACATCATTTATTAAATTTATTGATAACAGAAATATATAGACACAAAAATTAATATTATATATATAAATTGTTGTATGAACTTTTATATATGTATCATTACTTTTACTTAATTAAGTTTGGCCTATTTAAAAAAATTATGGAATAAGCATAACTTGTTATATGTTATAACTTTTTTTTTATTTTTTTATTTTTTTATTTTTTAAGATTTGATCTAAATCTTTTAAAATCTAACTTTCCTACTAACTTATTCAAGAAATTATTTCATATTATAT